CCCTGCTTTGTCGCTTAAAACAATGAGACGACGGGAAGCAACGGTTTATTGTTTCACAAGTAAAACAATGCACTTCAGAGAAGTGTGTGCTTAAATTTATGATGCACAAAGTGATCCAAATGAGAAGTGACATGCTCCTTGAGTCTCAATTTTGGATAGTTGGATTATATCCACATTATTGTATACGAGATGTTAAAGTTAGCTATCTTGATTACATTTTGGTGATGCGTTTCACTTCTCACTTTTCAGTTCAAGTTCAATGAATCTTTTCATATGATTGCATTTTTTGCTTTTAAAAACACCGAGTTCAAGATATTATAAACCTCTTTGGAAACCCTCATACAATTGATGACGATGAGATTGAAGGTCAAGTGTGTTCTCCAAATTTTTTTTGATAAATACTTTTTTTTGATAAAAAATACATTAGGCTTGGATAGGGATAAGTGTGAGAATTTGATGAATCTCTAGTTTTAGAAAGTTCCTAATTTACCTAAAAGACAATTTTGCCCCTCTTCTTTCATCTACTGGCTAAGTTTGTCCCTGGTTATACTATAGGGCCATATATTTCCACCGAAGTATGCAAAAATACCCTTCTTTTTAACGGTTGTCCACATACCTCACATTTGGGTGAGGTCAACACCACTTGGCATGCCACCTCACCGCCATATTTTCATTCTTTTTCCTTTTCTTCTTTTCCTATTCCTTTTCTCTTTCTTACTTTTCTTCTTCACAAACTTTTTTTTTGTTTTCCTATTTTTTCCAATGGCTTCCATCACTTTCCCTTAGCTATACCTCAATAACATCTTCCCCGATAACCCATGAAACTCACCAATTCCCTTTTTCCTCATTCATAAGAACCCCGTTCTCTCTGTATACCAAAATCCAGTAACCCAAAAAATTAAAAGTCTGGAAAAAAACAAAAAAAGAAAGTTCATTGATAGATACATATGCATCAAACACAACTATTATGAAATAAAATCTAAAAATGGTACAGCCCCCAAGGCCTAGCTCGAGTGGCAAAAGGTGGAGGATTTGTGGCTTAGGTCACAGGTTCAAGCCCCACACCATACAAAGCGAAGCCCGGTATTTAAGTGGAGAAGGGTAGAGGGGCGGGCCCATTGTGCACCGAGTTTAGAAGGCTATCATTGGTCCAAAAGGCGGGTCAAAGACGGATTTCTCTGCTATCAAAAAAATAATAAAATAAAATCTAAAAATGGTACCTTCAGGAAAGGAATAACACTAAAACTCCAAAACTCTTCCTTGTATATGGCAACGGAAGTTTGAAGTTCGATTCTCTGAAAAATAGATATCAAAGAAAAATAAAATGAACACGCAGATGGCTATCCTTATAGACGCTACAGAAAGAAACTTTCCTTTCATTAGAAATAAATATGAGCAAAAGTAATGACTATTTGGGGGGAAATGATAATAGTGCTTTTACTGTTATTGGATATGGAAATTTGGTGAGGTATTGAAGAACGATTGTGGTGTTTTAGGGAACAGATATAAAATCGGAGCTCCAGGGAGAAGAAATAGAGCACCGAGGAAATGGTGAGTTTAATGCGTTACTGGGGAAGATGCCATTGAGATATAGCTATGGGAAAGTGATGGATGCCATTGGAAAAAGAGAAGAAGAAAAAAAGTTTGTGAAGAAGAAAGAGAAGGAAAAAGAAAAAGAAGAAAGAGAAAAACAATAAAAATCTGGCAGTGAGGTGGCATCCACCTCACTCAAATGTCAGGCCATGTGGACAACCGTTAAAAAGAGGGGTATTTTTTCATACTTTGGTAACGGCAGAGACATATTTGTCCCTATAGTATAACTAATGAACAACTCAACTAATAAATGAAAGTAGAGGGGTATTTTTGACCCTTTCCCCAAGAATGAAATAGTGCTAACAAGTGGAATGAATATAGAAGATACACATCAGCAACGCCAACTAATTTGGGATAAGGGCTTTGTTGATTGATTGGGTGATATATTTTAGGACCTACTAGTTTAGAATAGGATGCTTTTGCAAAGGAGACGCCGGTTGCAAAACAATAGACTCATAAATGTTTTTCTGATGTTTTTCAAGCTTTATTTCTGGTTGAATGCTACAGTCCTTGAGTTAATGCTGATGAAATCAACGGACTTATAAATCCATTTATCCTTCTTTATGTGTAATGATCTTACATTATTTCTGTCTTGTTTCTTGATCTTAGACGGGCATATGAACCTTATTCTACTAGATGAAGTGATACACTTTTTAGCCCTATTCAGTTTGAAGTTTGTTAGCACTTTTGAATCTAATTTTATCATGCATTTTGGTAAATTTTGAGAACTTGTCTAAATTTTGATCTTGGGGTGACAGGCTGACTTTTGATGATTGACTCAAAAAGTAGGGTTGTCAACTAGATGTGCTCAACGGATTTTGTGTCTGACGGTCTGACCTTATGTTGGTTTGGGAGGTCTAACTTATTAGTGACTTTGTTTGGAGTCACTAATTTACCTGCCTAAAAATCTGATACTGTCTAATAGAGACGATAATGTGATATCTTAGAGTTGATTATGCTGGCTTAACGGAGAAACTTTCTATTCACTACAGAATATAGGATCAGAAAGAAGTGAGGGAGTAGCATCAGATTTTCATAGATATAGTACATCTTAATGTTTTTGTTTTTCTTTATCCTTTGTGGGATTCTGTGGTAGCTCAAAACTTAAGTATCTCTGATGTATGACCTGTATATACTGAAAGCATCTTTGTTCTGTTTTACAGCTACTTCCAAGGCATTCCGGAGGCAGTTTCAGAGACGGAGCAAAGAGGTGGCTGTGCATGCTAAGGCAGATGTAGCAATTCGAGTGCCATACTTAATCCATGTTGTTGCCTAATATTCCTGCAACCGTATCATAACTCTCCGGCCATAGCCATTCTTTTGTACCCACTATTATATACTACTATTTGATTTCTTCAGTGTTGTTTTGGGAAAGAGAAACATCTTTTGTTACATTTCAGATACTGGAGGTAGACAAACTCAGGAGGATTTCACTTAGTATTGCAGTTGGCTTTGACAAAGATTGTAACTGTGCATCTTTTTTTTTTTACTCCATTGGGTGGTTGGATTTTATTGTATGTATTTTTCTACGTCTACGTATAATAATGTGTTGGATTGGTAACTGCTACTGTGCTTATTTTCAGTTACACCTAAATTACATGTAAAACCAAAAAAAAAGAAATGAATTTGATTTTTTATTATTTCAGAGAATCATTCATTTTCTTTGTTGAAGAAAATTGAAATGAAAGAAATTCTAAAATAATAAGTAACTATTAATTGAATAATGCATGGTATTTTGGTAAAAGGGTCAAATATATATATACAGTCTAATACTATCATAAATAATGTAAATATATTTCCTCGTTACACCATCTCTATTTTACCCTCTATTCTTTATATTTAGAGGGTAAAACAGAGAATGTCTTATTCAACCCATTTTCATATTACTTTCTATTCTTCATTTATAGAGATAATTTGAAGAACTACTATTCACCTCTCTATTTCACTTTTTGATTAATTTAATATTATTTCTATTATATCATTAATTAAGTTTTTATTATTTTCTAATATAATATAACATCTAAAAATATATTATTGACAAGTTACTATTTTCATCCGAATTAATACTTTTTTTATTTTTAAAAAATTGTTACTTTAAATATGTAATTTAAAATCATTTTAATATTATTTACATTATATAAGAATATTAATTGAGTCTTTAATATTTGTAATTATTTTCTAAGTAATATAACATCTAAAAACATATTATTGATAAGTATACTACTTCCATCCCAAATTAACAATTTTTCTAATTTGATTTTTTTTTAAAAAAATTCGTCACTTTAAATATGTAATTCAAAATTATAATCTATGAAGAATGCACAAAATTTACATGATAATTCAAACAATCCACTTTTATGTTATAGTGATAAATTATTTAACCACACTTTTTTAATGAACATGAAAATACTTGATGCAATAGTTCAAAATGGAATAGGGAAAGAAAATTAGTATACGAAATAATTGGATACAAAATGAAATTGTTAGTTTAAATAATTTTTAGCTATACATAAAAAAAATAAGTATAAAAAGTTGCGTATTTTGAACTCCATAGTGCATTAATAGAGCATTTATGAGAGCAACGTAATAATCTTGAAAGTTGAATATTTATGTAAAATTAAAACAAATTTTATGATGATGCAATATTTATTATGTAATTGTATTTATCAATGATTTCACTTTTATTTGAATTGTTCGTTAATAATTTATAATATTTAAAAATTTAGAATAAAACATAATTTGAAATCAAATGTAGAATTTAAAAATAAAATTTTATATTACATGAAGATTATATGGTGATTATTTGCAAAAAAGAAGAAGAAATGATTTACATTATGAAATAAGAAAGTAAAAATGAAAATGAAAATGAAATAGAAATAAATTCCTTTTAAGAGAGTAAAATAAAGAGTTAGATTGGTCTGAAAAAATAGAAATCTTTATATTTCGAAAGTAAAATAGAGAACGAGATTGAAAATATCCTTAGAGTTTTAATTTTGATGATGATATATATGACAAACTTAAAATCAAATTACACACTCTCACTTTAAAACACCCAATTTCGTTAGGGGTAGGTTTTTGAGCTTGTCAAGTACAATAAAAAAAGTTATTTTTGGTCAGGGTAACATGTTATTCCCTTTTATACGCCACTTTTAAATTGCCACACTTATTAAGAAAATAATAATTGATATAGTGAATTTTACCATTGAAGGTATAATAAATTAAAAAAAATTATCCTTTTTTAATTTATCAAAATGGATAAATAATTAAGTATAACTAAAAAAAAAAAAAGTAAACAAGTAATTAGGAAGTAATAAACTAATGGTCAAAATCCATGTATCTAGTCAAGAAAGATCAACGAAAAAAAATAATCATTATTGTTGTTTTCATTACGACTAGAAGATGAAAGAGAGGAAATGAATTTTGAAGTTGAGACAAAAATGGGAGTGCCGTTAGCAATTGCGTTAAAATGTCTCTTCGCCATATTGGGATGTTTGGTTACAGGCATCGTAATCTACACTATCGCCATTGATGGCTTCTCGTTCGTCATCTCCCCGTATTCTCTCTCTTTCTTACTGATTCTACTTGGATTTCATTTTTCTGAAAACGGTTAACAACAAATTACTAGGTTGAAAAAAATTGAGATTTTGACTTGAAAATACAGTTTAATTAGCTCCATCTGCTGTCCAATTAATCTGAAATGAGTGTGATGAATTCTTGTAGGTTGATGGCAGCAACGACGATAGATTCTTACATCCATGTGTTTCTAATATGGGTAGCGTCATGATTAATTTTGAGCTTCTCAATGTTTCATATGTGAACCTTTTTCTCTCAATTATGAAGTCGATTGCATTTTATTTGCTACAGTTTCGTACATAATGTTTGAATTTGATATACCTACTATGTTAGAGGTTAGAGATTTGACTAGTACGAACCATTTCAGCCTTGCTTCCCGCATTTAGTCTACCATGGAGGCTACTTCCACCCTGCCTTGTATTTATTGTTCCTAATCTTGTCTCTTCTGTGATGATCATATATCCATCTAAACATCCTCATTTCTGCTACTTTCATCTTCTGAATGTGCGAGTTCTTGACTGACCAACACTCCATGTTGTACAACATAATTGGTCTAACAACAACCCTATAGAACTTACTTTAAGTCTCAATGACACATTCTTATCACATAGGACATCGAATGTTCAACCTCCATTTCATCCACCCCTCTCTAATACGATGTGTGACATCCGATCTTGACATTTCCTTAGATTATAGAATCAAGATACTTGAAGCTTCCTCTCTTGGGAGATGACTTGTGTATCAATCCTCACTTCCCCATCCATCGCCTGTGATGCTATACTGAACTTGCACTCTATGTACTTTGAACTAGTCCTGCTCATCTTGAAGCCTTTAGACTCTAAGATCTGTCTCCAAATCTTCCGTCTATCATTAACTCCACCGCTGAGAACTGGAAATTTACACTTTAATATGATTCTCTGACGTTTGTGTCCTTACTAAAGTAAAACTAGCATCTTACAGTTTGTAATTTTTAATCCTTAGCCTTAGGCTGAGATTTGATTTTTCTATTGCACTTCATAGGAGCCCAAGTGCTTGTTACAAATGCTACTGTAGAATGTCATCCTGCAGTTTAACCAAAACATTGATTAATAAAATTCTAACCTGTAGTTGCGCGTTTTGTCTCCTTTTTTTTTTTGCTGGGGTGCATCTTTAAGGTCCTTTAGTTTTCAACTGCTTTGTCAACAATTTTTTTATTCCAAGACATTGGCCAGAATGCATCGCATATTGTTATGCTTCTCTGCTCTTATTTCTAAAAAGCAATGCTCTCATGTTTTGGTGTTGTGTTATCATATCAGTCCTGGGTTGTCTACAAGGAAGCAAACTGGATTACTGCAATACCTTGAGCGGTGTTGCTAGTATGTTTTAGAAGGTATGCCGCCCTTATTCCTGTATATAAAACAACTTTACCGTCGATGACTATCTTGATTTTCAGTTTGATTATTCTTGAATGGCATCAGAAGGCCATGCTGTCATTGTCTTTCACAGTGTTCAATCAGTATCATGCATACAATGTTTGTCAGTTTGACACTATATATTCATGCATGGCGATAACGTTTTTTTTTATCCTATTCACAGCATTACTATATGTGGCTACATTCTATTGCAGTTCCTGAAGCTTTCAACTCAGGAATCTTTACAGGATCCAGTTTACTTTGTCCTATTACAACGCCAGAAAAAGTGAGTAGATATTTGCTCAAAGTTCGTATTTTATTCATAGTTTCTGCCTTCCCCCTCTCTCTTTGGAAACCACGAAAAGAAAGAGAGAAGAGTTTCAATTAAGAAATGATGTTATAGTTCATAGTTGGAGAATGTATGTGCAAATGTTAAATTGTTGTTAACAAGAGTTGATCCTTGTTGTTTTTGCCTCAGTTTCGTGTCATGCCTATTGCTTTGTTCAGAGTAAGCTAGCGGTGAAAATATCTAGTAAACTGTGGTTCACAACATTTCAAGAAATGGAAGAACATAGCCTGTTCTGCAGTTTAACATTATATCAAAAGCTAATTCTTTTTTACTCTTCATTGATCATATTGGTTAAGTCAAAGAAAGTAAAATGTGATACTTTGGCTTATCGAACTTTGTCCTTTGGTTTGAAGAAGACTACGGCTCAAATGTTTCAATCTCCATTTCAGAAAATGAAGTTTTCAATTATAGGAAGAAAAAAAACCAGTTTGTTCAACGAAATGTTGCATCCTCCATTTCTGTTTGAGAAATTACCAGTCGAATACTTTAAAGATGTTCCTGGTTTATATATTAGATATATCTAATATCTTCTATTTTGTTAGAGTGGCAGCTATTTGTGTTAGTTTTCTTTCGGGAAATGACCTTCACTTATAATAATCTAATGATATTTTGTGATATAGGACTGAAACAGAACAATGGAGGAAGTATTCTCTTTTAACTGCAAGAATTCTGTCTCTTGCTTTGGGCAGTCTGATGCTAGGGACACTGATTTACATCCTTGTAACTTATGGTTCTCCATTTCGCAGAGATGCTTTCACTCCGTAAGTTATTTGTTTATTTATTTATTCCTACTATTTAATCAGATACCATCAACCTTGATTATAGTTTTTCCCTGGTCAAACAACATACCTAGTATAATCCCACAAAATGTGAATTCTATTAGGGTAGAATGTCCGCAGACCTTACCTCTACCTCAGAGTATTAAATTTCAACCAGAATTTTTGTATTAATTGTCCCCTTCTTGTTTTTTATAATCTACCGATGAAATACATTTGAAGTGAGTTCCTTCTTCCACTACATGGATTCACTATGTACAGGGCATTCTTAGGTCCTAGATTCAGGAAAACAGTATTAGCATTTCCTACCTCCATCCCTAGAAAATTGATTTCTTCTTTGTCCAAAGAGCTGCGATCTATCATTTGCAGTTTTTTTTGAAAGTTCTCTGAAAAGCAAACTTCACGAGTTTGTGATGAAGTGATACATGTGCATCCTCATACATCAGCCTGTATAAACGTTCTTTGACATGCAATTTAAGAAGTCAAAATCTGTGCAGGTAGATGTCAGCAACACTAATTGATTACTTCGTCATTGTTATTGCTCTCTCGGTAAGTTTTTCATTGTTTAGCTACCTCTGCTCTTAATCTCACTGGTATTAAGAAGATTTCTTCTCTCTGTGGGTTGATAAGGTAGTCAAAAGTTTGTGAAATACAATACTATGTTACAAAATCATTAGTTAGGATTTTTCATGTGATTTTTTTCAGGTCTGGGTAGCATATAAGGAATCAAGTAGGCTAAGTGCAGCTTTTTGGATCATACCAATTATTTTGTGTGGCAGGTACATTTTGATGTTGTATTTATTCTAATATAATGCATAAATGGTATCAGTTTGCAGTTAGCTTCATCGATATGTCATCTTTTTTGTTGCTCTATATGGGTGAGAGCAAAATATGACATATTACAACAGTTTTTTTTTTGGGACTATAGTTATATCTAATTCATGTTTTATGTTGATTTCCTCAGCCCCATCACATGTTCCTATATTGCTCTTCAGCTTTTCAGTCTCTCATCTCAAGATCCCGTCTACCTTGTTCTTTTCAGCAGCCACAACAGGCAAGTTTGTGCACCATCTGTTTAGGCGTCTTCTCCTTGTTATGACATAGATTTTGTGTGCATCCCTGTGAAAAAGCAAATTAAGAAGATATTACATCCTGTTGATTCTGCAGTTGCAACAATAATGCTTGTACTACTGCTTTTTTTAAGAAGAAAAACTTACCTCCCCTGATATCCTTGTCCTAGTATGTCAAAGTTGTACTGAGATGATATCTCAAATGGTCACTCAACTAATGATTCTTCTCACAGAAAGTCACTCAACTAACGATTCCTCTCACATAGAGTCACTCTACTTTCTTTTATAATCTCAAAGTCACTCAACTAATAGTTCTTTTCATGTGTTATTGGGGAAGATGCCATTGAGATATAGCGATGGGAAAATAATTTAGTTGAGTAATGATAACCTGATTGACCATAGACTAAAACGATATAGCGACTGTGGAAATGAACATTTGGCTGGCGAGATAGTGAACCTACATCCCTCTACATTCAGTCATTCAGATACTATATTTCCACAGCTATTTACTGAAATCATCTTTGTTCTGTTTTACAGATACTTCCAGGGCATTTCCGAGGCAGTTTCATAGACGGAGCAAAGAGGTAGCTGTGCATGCTAAGGCAATGTATGCTATATTTGCTCCGCCTAATATTCCTGCAACAGTATCATAACTCTCCGGCCATAGCCATTCTTTTGTGCCCACTATGTAAGGGGCAATATGGCACTTTGAGAGAGGAGCTCTGTTTTTTGTTGTTGTAATATGTGATATTTTGGTCTAAAATATACTTCTCTCGTTATATTTTTGTCCAAATATTTCTCTCATTAAACTTTGGCATAAATGTGCTTTAACTTTAATGGAGAAACACGTGGCAAGCTCAGAATTAAATGACCTTACTCCTAAGTTAAAATACCCAATTTTCTTAAAAATCCATCCGTTTAATCTATCTCCCTTTGTGCAATGTTTTTGATGTTAATTTATTTTTTATCTTAATTTGATCACATACCTCATATCAGCTATAGCTTTTCTTCTGATTCAGTGAAAAACATAGCTAGTAAACATGTGGGTTTGCCTAATGCGGTTTATATTTTCTACGTGGTTTGCAGGCTATTACATAGTGAGAGTTTATCCCGTGTGTGCAAAGTGCTTACCATAGAGTGCTCGTGATCCAAAGACAGAGGTTGTTGCAGCTACAAGTTGTTTGGGGTTCCAAAGAAAATACATGTAGGTTTTTAAGAAAAATAAGTAGTTTAAACTTCAAAATTAAGAATAGAATTTGAGCTTGTCACGTGTTTTTCTTTCAAAATTAAGGACATATTTGTATCAAAGTATAATGAGAAATTATATTTTGATTAATTAGACCAAACATGTAAGGGTTAATATGGTAAACTACTTGGTCATATCCAAATAGCTAGTCAAGAAAGATCAACGAGAAAGATCAAAGTAGTTGTTATCATTAGGACTGGAAAATGAAACGGAGGAAATTTGGTCAAGAAAGATCAGCGTTGCAGTTGTTTTCATTATGAAGAAATACATGAAGTTAATTTTGAAAGTGAGACACAAACTTCCACACTTTGTTCGGATGGTTGTTTAGTGTTATTTCAAAATGTATCCTATTATTTTAATGAATACAATATTTGGATAGATTATATTGTCTCCGTTACATAATATCACACTTTCATAAGCTGAATGACAAACATATAAGAAAAGTAGCATACGGGATAGAGCTACTATGAAAAGGTAAAATAAAAAATGAAATATAATTATTAATAAAGACAAAATAAAAAAAAAATATTAAAGTAACGATGCAATCATACTAAACCGATCGTTACATCCTAATAGATTTAAATAATACAATACAATAAAATTTAAGTAACAATCAAAACAAACATTATATTTAAACTAACAATACGACCGGTAACAACCATTCAAACAAGGTGTAGTGCATTTGCTTTGTCACTTATATAAACACACTTGCTTTCTCGATAGTACACAAAAATGGCAGCATCTTTAGCAATTGCGTTGAAGAGTCTCTTCGCCGTATTAGGATTTTCGATTGCCGCCGCTGTAATCTACACTGCCGCCATTGATGGCCTCCCATTCCGCATGGAGCTTCTCACTCCGTATTCTCCTTTTCTCTCTCTGTCTTACTAATTCTACTTTGGATTTCAATTTTGTTTGGATCATTAATGCTTTGATTTTTGAATATATTGGGTAATCTAAAAGCTTAAATTTTGGAGTAATACATTTTATATTTTCAACACAAGGATTTCTGTCTGCTCTATTACTATGTTAAATTATGTGAACACATTAATTAAAGGTAAAATGACGTTAAGTTAAATAACATATTTATGTATTATTATGTCTATTAATAATATAGACCTCAATATAAAATAGAGTGTATAAATAATGCAAGATAGGAAAGTGTATCAAGGAAATAATATTTCATGTGGTCACTCAATTACTATCACTCTTTTCACGTAAAGTTACTCAACTTTGATTTTTAAATTAAAAGTTTTTCAATTATGGACTCAATTTTGATTTTTAACTGAAGGGTTACTCAAGTATACTAAACTTTGATTTTTAACTTAAGAATTACTTAATTATGGACTTTTTTTTCATAGAAAGTCACTAACTTCGATTTTTCATTTAAAAGTCGAACTCTTTTCACACAAAGTCACTCAACTATAGATGTTCTATTTACAAAGTCACTCAATTTATTTAATTATTTTTTTCAATAAAATTTATTGACATGTTTATTTAGAACTAAGATATTAAAAAATAAAAAGTATATCATATAAATCATTTATATGTGCAATTTGATTTCTTTTAACCTAACCCAACATGTACCTATGTTTATTGAGTTATATGATTGTGTATTGGTGTTTTTTTTGTATTTTAGGAGATGGGTCGAATAATTTTCTCATTTATTTTGGAGGGGTAGGCTGATAAGAATGAATAATTTAAACGGGAAAGGGTCAAAAATATCCCTTATTTGTAAGGAAAGGTCTAAAAATATCATTCATCCACCATTTGGTTTAAAAATACCTTATTATTCATCTTTTTGGTATAAAAATACCCTTCTATTTATCTTTTTGGCTCACTTATACCCTTAAACTAACAATCCCTCTCTCTCTTTATTTATTTATAAAATATTTATTATGTTTCATTTTTTATTTGATGAAATAAAAAAACTACCTCTATTAACACTCTGTTTGGATCATTGTTACCCATTGTATTGTATTGTATCGTTACTATACGTGCAATGTTTGTTTTGATTGTTACTTAAAATTTATTGTATTGTATTGTTAAATTATGTTGTTACGTAACAATGAAAACCCCCATTTTATGGAACAACCAATTTGGTGTGTTTCTATTGTTACTTAATTTCTTTTTCCAATTATATCTTTACATAATATTTCATAATACTATTTTACCCTTTACATTGTATTATTTAATTCTAGTCAAACCTCCTACCCTAGAATAATTAAGGATATTTTAGTAAATTTATAAATTATAATACAATATGATACAGTCAAATCAAACAATAAAAATGTTATTAAACAACATTAAACAATACAGTCTAGCCAAACATTGTATCTACCATACAATACAGTACAATAAAGTACAATACAATACAATACATTATGAAACAATTGATAACAATGATCCAAACAGAGTGTAAATTGTTCCCTATAATTTATTCAAACCATAATAATATACCTCTTCAAAACTCTCACAAAAATATTTTTAAAAATCTAATAAGTTTTTATACTTGTTGTAGCTTTTTCATTTTTTTTAAAATTTGAGACTACGAAGAAGGATATTATTTTGACTTGGATAAATTATGGAAAAAAGTATTTTAATAAAACTTTTAGAAAACTACTAATTTTTTTAATTTATTCAAACCAAAATAATATACCTTTTCAAGACTCACAAAAATATTTTTAAAAATCTAACAATTTTTGAATTTGTTGTAGTTTTTTTAGTATTATTTTTATAAAATAATTATTTTGAGATTATGAAGAAGGATATTATATTGGCTTGGATAAATTATGGAAAAGAAATCTTTAAAAAGAACTTTTAGAAAACTACTATTATTTTTTTATATTTGGTGTAACTTTTCTTCTTCTTTTTTTTTTTTTTAAATTTTTTGGGATCATGGTATATTGTTTTTTTTTTTAGATTTTGTTTGTGTATGATCAGCCCATCTTTCCCGTGCGGAACTTGCTGCTCCTCTCACTTATAGTTCATATATAATTAGTAGAAAACATTACTAACAGGCTGGAATAGCAGACGGAGAAGGAGAAATCGATCCGTCGAGGGAAATAAAAATCGTTCAAAATAATTTTTTTTAAAGACTTTTTAAGATTTTTTTCTCTCCATAATTTGTTCAAAATCCCAAAATAAATTTAAGAAAAAAAAAATAAAAATTGGAATTTTGAAGAGGTATATCTTTTTGACTTGAATAAATTATAGGAAAAAATTCAGTTGAGGTGGAATTTTATTTTAATAAGAAAACGACACATAATAAATATTTTTTTTAAAAAAGAAAGAGTTGTTAGTTTTAGGGTATAAGTGAGCCAAATAAATGGAAGAGTATTTTTAGACAAAAAAGATGAGTATAATGGTATTTTTAGACCAAACGATGAATGAAGAATATTTTTAGACTTTTTCGTTATAGTTCAGGGATATTTTTGACCCTTCTCTGTAATTTAAATGATATTTTTTTATTTTAAAATTTTAAGTTCTAAATAAAAGTTTCATGCCAATAATTTATTTTTAAAATTAATTAAATAAGTTGAGTGACTTTATAAATAAAATACAAATAATTGAGTGACTTTATGTGAAAAGAGCCCATAATTGAGTTATTTTTGAGTTAAAAATCAAAGTCGAGTGACTTTCTATGAAAATAGTTCATAATTGAGTGAATTTTGAGTTAAAAATCTAAGTTGAGTGATTTTTTGTGAAAAAACTCATAGTTAAGTGACTATCTCAGATATTATTTCGTGTATCAAGCAACACACTACAAATTATACACAAAGTCAATGCATATATTTTTTTTTTTCTAATACACTCTGCCAAACGATCCCTTATAGTAGTCCTCCTGTCCTCCATCTCATTTTACTAGATATAGGACCCCGTGCCAGCACGGGGCCCAATATATATATATTTTTATTTTAATTTATGTCATATTATGGAATTTGAGAAGTTATTGAAATATTTATATGATTTTAAAAATATTTTAAATTTTTAGCTATTGTGATTTGTAGTACATTTTTTTAACATAATTTTGAAAAAAATATTTATTACTCTGTTTGTTCTAATTTATATGGCACACGCAGAATTTCAAATATTAAGCATTTTTTATATGTCTCTTTAATATATTAAGTTGTTTATTATTGTATTTTATTGTACATTTTGAACCTAAATTTTTAATAATATATGTTATTTGCCATG